CAACTCAAAGTGGATCAAGAACCTAGGACTAAAACCAAGGACTATAATAAACTTCATGAGAGAAAAGCTTGGAAGAATTAGAGAAGCCCTAGTTCACAGCATAAACAGTCTTCCAAGCATCCTGAAAAATTTACAACCAGGAGTGGATGAAATAAATGAATAGGACCTTCTAAGAATCAAATCCCTATGCATATCCAAAAACTAATCCAACAGGGTGAAAAAGGAAACCACAGACTGGGAAAAAATATTTGGTAATGACATGTCTGATAAGGGACTATAATAAATCTAGAATTTATAAAATACTTGAGCACCACCACAAGATAAAGGTAAACAACCCAGCTGCAAAATGGGCACAGGATATGAACAGACACTTCACCGAAGAAGATTTTCAGATGGTGAATAAACACATGAAGAAATGTTCAGGTTCCTAGATCTAAGAGAGATGCAAACCAAAACAACTATGAGATACCATCTTACCCCAGTAAGAATAGCAAAATTTAACAGAATAGCAAACAACAAATTTGGTGAGGTTGTGGAGAAACCCACTGTGGTGGGAGTGTAAAATGGTGCAACCACTGTGGAAGGCTGTGTGGTGCTCTCTCAAAACATTGCAAATAGAAATACCATTTGACCCAGCAATTCCACTATGGGGAATATACCCTAAAGAAACAATAACTGCCACCCAAGCAGATATTTGCACACCTATGTTTATTGCAGCTTTGTTCACAATAGCAAAGTGTTAGAAACAACCCAAATGCCCATCAACAAATGAATGGATAGAGAAGCTTTGGTATATTCCTACAATGGAATACTATGCTGCATTGGAAAAACAAGAAACTCATGAAATATTATACAAAATGGGTGACCCTGGAGAACATTATGCTGAGTGAAATATCTCCATCACAAAAAGACAAATACTGCATAGTGCCACTGTTGTAAAGCAGACTGACATTGGGGTTGGGGGAAAACGAAGAGGGGATACTGCATTGAAACAGATGAGGGAGAACTGTTTAGGAAGACTATATGATTAGGTATTATTGTCATGACAAAAGTCCCGAATGAAAGCTGGATAGAGGAGTGTACTACGGGGCAGGGGGATTGTATAACAATGGAAGATTATTTATTGATTTAATTTATTTATTACTTTTGAAAGAGAAAATAGAAGTGGGGGGGAGAAGTAGGCAGGGAGGAAAGTGTGCAACAATGAATGAATGGAAATTCAAAGTCTCTGTGAACTTTCATTAAAATAAAAAAAATAATTTCTGAAGGAAAAATAAGTACTATAACAAAACCCCAAACAAACAAGGCCTCAGGAGTCATTGACTTTTTCAGTTAACAGATGCAGCCCTGAATGTGCTCACCAGTCTGTGCCAGGAAATTTGAAGGACAGCTGTCTAGCCAATGGATTGGAAGAGGTCCATATTCGTTCCCATTCCTAAGAAAGGTGATGCAACTAAATGTGGGAACTATCAAACAATATCATTACTTTCACATGCAAGCAAAATACTGCTGAAGGTCATTAAAAAATGGCTAGAACAGTTCAAGCAGTTCAAGCCAGAAGTTCAAGCCGGCTTTATAAGAGGCCATGGCACCAGGAATATGATAGCTGATAATAAAGAGAAGAACATCTTTTTATGCTTTATTGACTATGCAAATGCACTTGTGTGGATCAAAGCAAACTATAGCTTGCGTACTGTGAGTCAGAACCAATTCATAGCAGACCCTCTAGTGGGTTTTCAGAGGCAGTTTAAGTACATGGGAGGAGATGGCCCATCTTTCTCCTGCAGAGCAGCTGGGAGATTCGAACCATATACCTTCGGGGTTGGCAGCACAGCTCCTTACTACGACAGAAGCAAAGAGAGATAACCAGGCTTCCGCCTCCAGCTATAATCCAGTTAAGAATTGACAGCGCAGCTCTGCTGCATCTTCCTGCCTCACTATCTGCTGCTTTAGGGAGGGGTTTTGAGGTTTTCAGGCATGGGAGGGGGGCCCTGCTCCAAAGGGAGGGGCTGGAGCTCCAGTCGGCCCCCTGGAGGCCTCCAGTCAGGCTCCTCACATCGCCTCCCCCCCCGCCC